AAAGTTTTCTTTAGCTGGCAATAAGAATGATAATAGATCTAATTACATTCATGCAACTTGAATTTTCTCAAAATATGCTTCCTTGGTTAATTCTGCAAATTCGAATGACATGCCCCACGTAACAGAGAACCTGATACACATCGAATTTATACTGTAAGTGCGACATTTCATACTGAAATCACATTCTCCTTACTCCACTGAGATGACCCAATACATCAAATCCATCATAAGCAGAAAAGTAGAATTGAGTTGAAAAGGCATAAAAGCAAAATCCATCCATTCCAGACAAACATGAAAGATTTTCAATGTTTATTCATTAAAAGTATGAGTCTAAATTTCAATTTTAAGTAGACCAAACCAATTATTCGTTTTAAAATAATGTCATGCGCACGACGAAGTTTAAAGTCGCCGAGTAGTGCTATGTTCGCATTAATAGAGTTATTATATATTTATCTACGTTTGTGTTTTGAAATAGAGCATAAATTCATTTATTTTGTTTCTTGCAGTGTATTAATTTATTATCAAACCTTAGTGATTACATTATGAATATCTTACTGCATTTGTATGAGCAAATAAAAACTTTTCTTTTTTCACTAAAGCTGCGCTCTCACGGTCGTGTAATATTGTTCAGAAAAAATTTATTCATATTTTTCCCATACCAATGCAGGAACCTATAAATGCGTATGCTTGTATTTCTTCACATACAATTATGTATTAGGATGAATGGACGATCTGAAGGATGCATTTAGATGGGTTTTTTTCGTAGAGAGAAATTCCTCTTTAATTTTGTAAGGTTTCCATTTTAAGTTAATTTTGTAATGAAGTTTGATTAATTAATCAATTCAATAATTAAACAAAACAATTTCAAACATAAGACATAAGCAGTTATAATCACAAAATCCTATGTGCATGTGAGATACACAGAGTGATGTTTATGGAACATTACTGAAGACAATTCCTGAATCAAATTGTCTGATGAGTTGATTCACACACAGTCGCAAGATGAATATGGATACAAATTGTTTGAATATACGTAAAAGGAGAGAGAGAGAGAGAGAGAGAGAGAGAGAGAGAGAGAGAGAGAGAGAGAGAGAGAGAGAGAGAGAGAGAGAGAGAGAGAGAGAGATTGTGTATACAATATAAACTGTTAAACAAATCAGGCTCAGAGGCAATAGCAATGTATGTATGTATGTATGTATGTATGTATGTATGTATGTATGTATGTATGTATGTATGTATGTATGTATGTATGTATGTATGTATGTATGTATGTGTGTATGTGTGTGTATGTATGTATGTATGTATGTATGTATGTATGTATGTATGTATGTATGTATGTATGTATGTATGTATGTATGTATGTATGTATGTATGTATGTATGTATGTATGTATGGATACATCTTATTATTATGCTAAATAATATAAACACTGAGGCAACAGCACTGTACATACCATATAAATGTTTTCTAAACCAGATAGACACCGAGGCAACATCACTGTCGATACCATATAAAAATTTGCTGAATATGGTTGACGCAATAGCATAACAAAAAAGATATAGTGTTGAATGCTAATTTTATAGCTAAATTCTTTTCCCTCTTGCATACGAATGAAAAGAGATTATTCAAATAAATTCTATATTCGCATGTATAATTTATAGAGAATGAAAAGAACAAGGAGGGTGCACGGGTGATTCGGTACTTTTAATGTGGAGATACATCAACATTTTAAAGATATCAAAAGTAGGTCTTTATCGTGAAAATCCTGAATACAAAACTAAAGAGATTAGATCAACATATTTCAAGCAGCAACGTCTGGAAATAAAATACTAATGACTTCGGAGGAGTTCTTATTGTGCATGAATAAGAAGTCTCGTACCTGGTATTATATAGGTATAACCCACTTTCAGACATGTGTTTGCCATGTGTAACGCAGCCCTTTGAATAATTAATGAGTGTAGTTTTTAATAAATCTATTAGAATGCACGTTTTCAAAAGTTGTGAATGGGGTCTCTCCTGTAGCTATGAAAAGTGAAGCGAAAGCAATGACTGCCCCTCCATTTTACCATCGGATGAATATTCCGAACATTTTACCATCGGATGAATATTCCGAAAGGTCCAACTCCTAAAAACAAATAAATTCTAAATAGACAATCTTTCACGAAGAATATGCTCGTGCATTTCTTCACATCTTTGAAGAAATCGATTGTACTTAGATACCTTGGTAGCATATTTCAAAGACATTTAAATCCTTGTAAACAAACTTGTCTGTGTTGTTTTCAGATTATGTCCACACAATCCATGACATACAGTGCAGGATTACCCATAGGCAGAATAAGCACCTGTCTATGGGCTCCACGCCTTTTAGGGCCCCCGCGATAATGGCTCAAAATAATATTGATTTAATCTGGACTTTTTTTTATATAATTTGCTAAGGGGCCCCGAGATTTTGACTGCCCAGGGGTCTCCAAAAGGTTAAATCTTGAACTGATGACCTTTTACCTACATATTCCTATGAAAACGTCTTTTTTTTCAATAAAGATCGTGATATCAACAACGGATTATAAAAATATGTATAATTACTTGTCTAATTACTTACCTGCGCAGTTGTTATTGATGACTTTAGGAAAGCACCAACAGTGACCAGGCAAAAGATCACCAGTAACATATCCTTGGAGATGATTTCCATGAAAACGGTCACTTTCTGCAAGCGGATACCGAACAAGAAAACTGTCAATTGCAAGGTGATAAGCTTTAATTCTAAAACCAGTGGTTTTGAGGAATGTAATCTAGCATCGATTTTTTGAAATGACAGTTAAAACGGCTCGATGAAGTCTTTTCTTTTCTTCTGTCGCTTGGAAATTAAATGCCTGATGTGAGCAATGTATCAAATTAACTCCAAGTCCCCGCTGTAATTAATACGTTGATACTTTTGAAGCTGTAGAACGGTTCTTCTTGTTTATATCCGATATAGAGCTGCAGCTATGGAAACGCCGAAATTAAGAACATTAAATTTTTTAGAATCCCCATGGGACTTCCTGTAATCTATTAAGTCTCAATTTTTTGAACTTATTCGGGTTTGTATAGGTAGAGGATCGAAGAGTTTTTCTAAAAATGGTCTCCAAGAGTTCGGGACAAAGTTTCAATCCATTTTTCAAACTTCTTTACATGAAAAAAAAAAAACTTCCGTAAATTCTCAGAACAGTAGATAACGATACTTCCAATAAATTTCTATATCGTACAAGATATAATAAAATATTTAGCATCGATATTCTGACTCCGATTTCAAAAATTTATTTGCTCCTTTCTTACTTCCCCGAAAACAAGAATCAGAGACACAAAGCCAAAACACCGTAATTCCTATCAAACCAAATTTATTTTCCGTTTAATTTTGTTGCTGATGCAGAAAAAAATCGAACTGCAAACTGAAACAGTATCTTATAGTGTACCTAGTGGAATAAACAAAGCAAGATCAGTGATAAAGAACGTGTGCAAAGACCATACAATTTGTCAAGGAGCGTTGACTACGTGTGTTCTGTGTAATTTATATTTAAAAATTCACACACTAAATCCCAAAAAGTCAAAGGAATATCTTGAAGTTAGGTTTTCTCCTCTATATATCTAAATGAATTGCGTTACACTATTAAATTCCTTTTTTCGTTTCAGAACCATTTCCTCATTACAAATAGCAGAGAAAGTGTTATAGAAAATATCATGTATTCCTCAAACGTGAAATGCTGCAAGCTTAAGACTGATTGGTAAGAGCTAATCAGTTTGAAACGAAACCTGGACATGCAAATGTATCTTACCAGCCTGGCCACGTTTATTACAGGTTCTATAAGCTCCACGTATCTCTGAGAAAAATATGGGATGAAACACGTGTTCACATTGCAGGCCACGTTCAAAAGTCACGTGTTCACATTGCAGGCCACGTTCGAAAGTTTAAAACTCAGCCTTTATATGTCAACCCGTGACATTCTCGAATTGAACGGGATACATTTTCTTGTGAGAAATAAATATCTCACATTTCTTAATATTTGTGACTTTGCTCTGTACTGTTCTCTGAAGGTACTCTAATCTGTTTAAATATCAATATTAATTGATACAGTCTTTTGTTCCTCATTAAAGTGGATTTAACACCTCCTTTTGGAAAAGCAAACCAACGATAGACCGCTAAACAAAGAATAACGGATCCCGATTAAGTCCCTAATTAAATACAACTTTCCAATGCGTCTTTCTTCTCACTACGTCTTTCTTCTCACGGCGTGTCAATGGCTGGGCCTTTTCTCTGTCCTTATGAAACGTTGCACTACGTATTTGATGTCCCCTTCATAACGTTTTAGGCACACGAGGCATCTGACATCTCGCTTAATTATACCGTGTGCCTATACTAAATCAATTATCGCGTCCTATCAAATAAAATCGATAGCAAATGCCGACAGAATTTAACGGCTAATAACAGCCAATAAAAGCATTCCTATACCCTCTACCACCTTATCGGGCGAATTGCCACATAAAAAACTGTGCTACAAGAAAGAATTCACGCGGAAGAGAGAAAACAAGGTTTTTAGTCAATTAACCGCTCTAATTAAACTAGATTCAAAGCATACCGTATAACAAGTATCTTCGCGGAGAATGAATTTCAATGTACCTGCTAAACGTCAAAACCTCTTCTTGTACATTAAATTAAAATAGAGATAAACGTTTCAATTCTGACACAGCCAAGAACCAATCGGTCAAATTAAAGCAAAGTAGGTTTGTTCCGCTCTCTTTTTTTCTTCTTTTTCTTTTTTTTTTTACAGGGTTTTGTCTACTTTTATCTACTTGTATACAATATGTGTTTCAGGTTTAACCTCGAAATAACAAAAATGGAAAAAATATAATTAATTTCTTACTAACTCCAGTGGACTGATAATAAAGACGAGAGTGCAAAGAAAATTAATATGTAAGCTAATAGAGTGGTTTCGGACAGTAAAATATGGTATATAGAAAGAAAGACC